ATGGCGCCGTACATTCCCTGGTTCGATGCCGCTTGCTAAAACAATGAAAGCATAAACCATGTTTCTTAATTTCAAAATACCTTTGTAGAGGAGTCAGAGAAGCAAATTTCGGACACACCTTTACGCCATGCGAACCTGAGCAGCAGTGGCATGAAGTTCCACTTGAATCTACTGCGGCCGCCAAACTTGCCCTTTTTCCGATGTTATTAGTCTTAACCATTCCTGGTTTTCTCACTTCTCGACCCGCTTGGTTAATGCCTCTGTTGACTATAAACAGCGAAAGCGCCTTCCATGATGGCAATTGAGAACAATCGAATTCGTTCTCCCATTTTTCCAGTGAGTCTTCATCCAACTTGCTTTGGACTAAGTGGAACAAATGCGCGTCTAAGATTTCACTCTCACTGCCTAATGAGCGTAGAGCCTCCAACTGAGAGTTAACAGCATCAACTAATCCTCTTAGTGAATCCGAATTAGCATGGTTTAGCTTATTTATGCTAAAAAGCTCATGCACATGGGCTCGAACAATAATGGACTTATTCTCAAATCGATTCTTAAGCAGCTGCAATGCCCTTCTGTAGTTTGCTACAGACAGCTCCAAACACTCAATCGTACGCAAGGGAATTGGGCCTAAACACGACTTTAAGTGTATAAATTTTGACAGTTCGTCAACGTCACCGTCCGATTCTATCAACGTTTCAAAAGTGTTGAACCAACTTGTCCACTCTGTAACCTTTCCACTAAATTCGGGCAACTTCAACTTAGGTAACTTCGAAGCACTCGAACTTCCCGACGAAACTGACAGCGTAGAATTAGCAGACGGACTTGCACCAAATGCCGCTTGACGGCCCCTTTGGGCTAACTGTGCCAGAATTTTAGCCTTTACTTCACAATATAAATTTTCAATTTCTTGTCTACTCTCAAATTCACGAACATCGTCACTATCATTCTCTATTTGTTGTTGGATGCTGCATAATTGCGTAAAAACTGATTCGACCAGACTCAATCGCGCTTCTAACTCTGACGCAACCATTGCTGCACATTTCTCCGAAATATATGCCTTGTTTCGATTTAATGAAGCCATCAAACTTTCTCGCGAAGCACTAAAGTCCGCATCTTTACCTTTTTTAGGAGCCATGTTGCTCCCACTACTATTAACCAATGTTAATACAACTGATTATAGCTGTTTGAGCTAGGTGTTACAATGCTCACACCCTCAATTAGCTACCGAAATTAAATCAGTTAAACAATGCACTCAACGCGGTGCCAAAAATTTGAAGTCACTCAAGCGATCTTTCTCTAAAAAACCACGGACTCAAAAATGCACTCAAACGCAGTACCCAAATTGCTAACTGACTTCAACAATGCCCTCAACGTAGGGCTCGAAATTATTGAATTTCGCAATAAGCAATGCACAATATACCGGCTTAATATGTCTGCATGTATTTCCTTTAAAAGTGTCATATACGCGTGAGCACAGCTGTAGCTTCTTTCTTTTCTTTGCTTTTGCGATATTCCAAGATCAGCTCAAGGTTACGAACTCTATGCACTTTCCGAAATACGTACATACATATGTGCATACATGCATGTGTGCGAGTGTCTTTTCTCTTTTTTATTTTCTAAAGTTCCAATTGAACTAAGTACACTCCCACTCACACTTGCATATACTTGAACCTCAATTATCTCGAGTTAGCCGCACATTATATTAAGCACCAATGTGTGTTTAACACTTTTCACCAGACACACCAGCTTTATATGCCAATTTTTAATCTTTTATTATATTTTAATTACTATCGACTTGCAACATACATATAGGGTGTGCCGCTATTTTGGCCTCACCAAGCTATATACTACTCACAGTCCGATTACAGAGCCGACACTTCAGCTTTCAATACGCTAGCAGCTCCAAGCCTCCGTATGTAATTAATCCAAAACTAATTAAGCTCCAACGATGAGCTTTAAATGGGACGTGAACTTTTTCCAAGAAGTCCCTGCTCGGGCGCCAAATGTTTCCGCAACTCCTCGCAACCAGTTCGGAATAAGAATCTCGAAGTAAAAAGCCAAGTGCTGCTGGTTCGACCGAGTCGGAATTCATTCAATTTAATACTCTCCTTCTTTCAATTTCGCTATTCACCTATTACATGCATGTTCTTCCTCTTTGTCTATCGATATTCACATATTAAATGTATGTTCTATAGCACCAAACTTCTGTGAGCATGTCAAAATGCAACAATTTAATATCTTAATGCTACAAATTAATTTTACTCATATCCAAATACTAATTGCTCCCGGCCATAAGCCCTTTGCGCAAATTCGGCGTAAACAGATGTAATTTTTAGTTTAAGGTTTTTTTAGAAGTACCGGTTTGTTTTTTCACATAACTTAAGTATCTTAGATCTAGTTGCAAAGAACTTTGATTATCTGAAAAGTTGATTGATACTGCTATAAAGTGGGTCCAAACTGTGTGTGGTTTTGGCCGACCGTCTCAGAAAAGCTTTGAAATGCAAAAATGTTGATTGTTGTGAGGTATTTTTTTACGAAATTTTGACTTTAAAATCTCGGGAAGAGTCGGGTTTATTTTCTATGGCAGAACTTTTTTTTAAGAATTTTCAAAGTTTGTACATTTTTGTTTAAGGTTTTTTTAGAAGTAGCGGTTTGTTTTTTCACATAACTTAAGTATCTTAGATCTGGTTGCAAAAAACTTTGATTATCTGAAAAGTTGATTGATAATGCTATAAAATGGATCCAAACTGTGCGTGGTTTTGGCCTACCGTCTGGATAAAGCTTTGAAATGCAAAACTGTTGATTGTTGTGAGATTTTTATTGTCGAAATTGTGACTTTAAAATCTCGGGAAAAGTCGAGTTTATTTTCTATAGTAAAACTTGTTTTTTAGGAACTTATTAAGGAGGTTATTTTTAGTTTAAGATTTTTTCAGAGGTAGCGATTTGTTTTTTCACATAGCTTAAGTATCTTAGATCTGGTTGCAAAAAACTTTGATTATCTGAAAAGTTGATTGATACTGCTATGAAGTGGATCCAAAGTGGATCCTACCGTCTCGGAAAAGCTATGAAATGCAAAAATGTTGATTGTTGTGAGATTTTTTTTTCGAAATTTTAACTTTAAAAACTCGGGAAAAGTCGGGTTTATTTTTTATGGATTAACTTGTTTTTTAGGAACTTATTAAGGATGTAAGTTTAAGGTTTTTTTTTAAAAGTTGCGGTTTGTTTTTTCACATAACTTAAGTATCTTAGATCTGGTTGCAAAAAACTTTGATTATCTGAAAAGTTGATTGATAATGCTATAAAATGGATCCAAACTGTGCGTGGTTTTGGCCTACCGTCTGGATAAAGCTTTGGAATGCAAAACTGTTGATGGTTGTGAAATTTTTGTTGTCGAAATTTTGACTTTAAAGACTCGGGAAAAGTCGGGTTTATTTTCTATAGAAGAACTTTGTAAGGTAGTCTTTTCGAAGGCTGAGGTAGCTCAGCCTCTCCAGGGACACCTTACAAAGAAATTTGTAAAGTGCCGGGACCCGAGATTGCGGAAATGGAGACGCCGTGTGTGGAAAGGTGGGCGTATGGGGCGGAAAGGGAACCTGATTGACACCGGTCATCCGGTGGTTAGTGGAGACGCCTTCTGGCAGTGTAGCCGCCCCTGTCTGCTCCGACGCGAGCGCCCCTGGTAGTACCTAGGCAGCACCCGTTTCGGAGGCAGGCACGCGCCGTTTAAGAGCCCGCGGTCTGGCGCGGTAGTGACCTGCGACCAGCCCAGCGGAGCCTCCAACGGTGGGCGACCACACTTACCGTCTTGCACTTTGGGAGGGGGAAAGGGTTACATTTACACTGTTCCACACGAGCACATTGTTTAGTTTTGTTTCTTTATTCTGGTATCTTTATTTCATATTTTTTTTTCCTTGTTTTTTCCCTGTCTTACCGCCGTATGTACTTAAATTTCCTATGTCCCTACCTACGTCGCACCAAACTAAGTCGTAATAGAAAAAGGGTGAGGCCCACAGCCTCGCTTACCCGATCCTCTCGAGCCTAGCGGTCCTTTTGTCTCCTCGCCTGGCGCTCGGTGTCTTGAGCCTCTCGTGGGCAACGTTGGGGTTATGGCGCACTTTTTACCCTTTTCACTTTTGTCGCCGCAGCGATCTCGACTGGTCCTCCCGGTGTTCGAAACATTTCTCCCCGAGGCGAGCTCTGCGTGGCAATCGCGAGCCCTTAGCTGCGGTCCCTTGTCCGGGCTGCGCTGCCCACGCCCGTGGCTCTCGGGCTGCTGCCGGCGCCCTTGATCTCTCGCTCTGCTGCTCTGCTGCTGGCTCTCGGCGTTGATCTCTGGCTCTGCTTCTGCCGCTCTGCTGCTTTCTCTCGTCGTCGTTCTCGTTTCGTTCTGCTGCTCTGCTGCTGGCCGCTCTCGGGCTGCTGGCTCACTTCGTAGTTCTCTTTGGCTCTGCTGCTGTTGGTTCGCGTCGCCGTTCTCTTTGCTCTGCTCTGCTATTGGCTACTGTGGGCCGCGAAGTTAAATTATGACTTCAAAATTTCACCTTATAATATAACTTAGAAACTAATAATGGAAAATTATAAACTTAATAATAAAGACTTCATGATACCTCTCCTAAATATATAAAACAAGTAACTTTCTTAGTGAAAACTTAACCCTATGTATATAACAAAGATTTCATAATTTCCCCTTTATAATAGAACTTATATATCTACCAATTATAACTACTTACATACTACAAAATTGTGCGTCGTCACACCCACACCCCCCCCCCCCCCCCCCCCCCCCCCCCCCCCCCCCCCCCTTTCTTCCCGGGTGATATCTGATGGCGACGCCGCCGGACGGGGTGATCGTGATCTTGAACGTGCTTTCCGGCCACTCCAGGGTGAAGCGTCGCCTCCAGGTCCCCTGTTGTTGGCTTGTTCGGACCATTTCAACGAGGCTCCGGGGGATGAGTCGGCGTGGGGTATTCGTCCGCCATTCGGCAGGTGCCTCAACCCACTTTTCCTCCTCCTGCAGCAGCTCCGCTGTCAGGGCTTTGACATCAACTTCTGGTCCGAGAAGAGCTTGGAGGTCGCTGCTGCCGAACGACAAGTCCAGCTCGTCGGTGTCTTGGGCTGGCGATAGCCCGAGCGAAGCGAATGAAGCAGTCGGTGTTGCTGCTGTTCGCGAGGTCGACACCCCTAACTCGTCACTGATGACGGCCACCCGGGCGACTCTCTCCACCTCTTCGTCCTCTGGTTGCAGCCACGAATCTGGTTCCGGGTAGAGGTATCGGTACATGGCGCTGTCTGTGCTCGGGAAAAGCTCCGTGCTGATGTCGTCGAACTGCGACCTTCTTCGGGCGGGTTCGGCCTCGTTTCCCTCGTCGTCGAACCCCTCGAACCGGCGTTGATACTGAGGAACCCAGCCCCAGTTGTTTTGCCGTTCGTCTGCCCACTGTCGCCACGGCTCCTCGATCTCCTCGTCGGCCATGGTCGTACTAAGTGCTGTGGGANCACTTCGTCGTTCTCTTTGGCTCTGCTGCTGTTGGTTCGCGTCGCCGTTCTCTTTGCTCTGCTCTGCTGTTGGCTACTGTGGGCCGCGAACTTAAATTATGACTTCAAAATTTCACCTTATAATATAACTTAGAAACTAATAATGGAAAATTATAAACTTAATAATAAAGACTTCATGATACCTCTCCTAAATATATAAAACAAGTAACTTTCTTAGTGAAAACTTAACCCTATATATATAACAACGACTTCATAATTTCCCCTTTATAATAGAACTTATATATCTACCAATTATAACTACTTACATCCTACAAAATTGTGCGTCGTCACACCCCCCACCTCCTTTCTTCCCGGGTGATATCTGATGGCGACGCCGCCGGACGGGGTGATCGTGATCTTGAACGTGCTTTCCGGCCACTCCAGGGTGAAGCGTCGCCTCCAGGTCCCCTGTTGTTGGCTTGTTCGGACCATTTCAACGAGGCTCCGGGGGATGAGTCGGCGTGGGGTATTCGTCCGCCATTCGGCAGGTGCCTCAACCCACTTTTCCTCCTCCTGCAGCAGCTCCGCTGTCAGGGCTTTGACATCAACTTCTGGTCCGAGAAGAGCTTGGAGGTCGCTGCTGCCGAACGACAAGTCCAGCTCGTCGGTGTCTTGGGCTGGCGATAGCCCGAGCGAAGCGAATGAAGCAGTCGGTGTTGCTGCTGTTCGCGAGGTCGACACCCCTAACTCGTCACTGACGACGGCCACCCGGGCGACTCTCTCCACCGCTTCGTCCTCTGGTTGCAGCCACGAATCCGGTTCCGGGTAGAGGTATCGGTATATGTCGCTCTCTGTGCTCGGGAAAAGCTCTGTGCTGATGTCGTCGAACTGCGACCTTCCTCGGGCGGGTTCGGCCTCGTTTCCCTCGTCCTCGAACCCCTCGAACCGGCGTTGATACTGAGGAACCCAGCCCCAGTTGTTTTGCCGTTCGTCTGCCCACTGTCGCCACGGCTCCTCGATCTCCTCGTCGGCCATGGTAGTACTAAGTGCTGTGGGATATAAACGAGGTTATATCCCTGGGCCTATGGGCAGACTATGCTCTACAGGACAATAGTCTGGTGCGAAATTTTAAACTTGAAAATATCCTAACGAAATATTACTACCGATGTTATACAATGTCTTATACTAATCCGCCTTGTGGGCGGCCCCAAATTTACTTGCTGGTCCTGGCTGGTCGTCTGTTGTGCGGTCGAGCGGGTGCTCGCCGTCTTCGCTGTCCTGCTGTTCCTCGTCGTCGTGTTGCTGGAAGGCCTTTAGGTCGGCTACCCCGGCGGTGCGCCGTTGTCCAGTCTCCGTGTGACGAACTCTGGCTATGTTGGGTGAATCGAATTTGGTTACCTTATACGGCCCCTCGTACCGTGGGGCTAACTTGGCGGCGAACCCGTCGTTGGCTTTCGATAGCACGTGTTGCTTCACTAGCACCAAGCTGCCAATGGTTGGTTTCCAATCGCGTCCTCGTAGGTTGTAGTGGCGGCCCTGTTCCGCCGATGCTCGCTGTGCGTTGTCCCTTGCCGCCTGGAAAACCTCGTACAGCTGTTTCGCCCTGGTTTCGGGATCGGCAGCGACTATTCCGGATCCTGGCGTGACTTCCTCGTACAATGCTCCTGGTAGTCTCGGCTCTCGTCCTTGGACCAGGAACGCCGGACTGAATCCTGTTGTGTCGGACACGCTGCTATTGATTGCCAATGTAATCTCCGGTAGCAGGGTGTCCCATGTACTATGCGGTCCCTCGATGTACTGTGCGATCATGGTCTTGATGGTCCGGTTAGCTCTCTCCGTCGGGTTTTGCTGTGGATTGTACGGCGCAGTATACTCCAGTGTCATACCTGCCCGCTTACAAAACGCTTTAAAGGAACGACTGGTAAATTGAGTCCCGTTGTCGCAGATGAACTTCCGGGGTATCCCAAATCGGCTGAGGATCCGGTCGCGAAAAGCTTTCTCCAGGTATGTTGCCGTGGCACGGCGCAGAGGTATCAACTCCACCCATTTGGAAAACATATCTAAGAAGACTAGTAACACTGTGTTACCTTGTTTGGATCTCGGCAGTGGTCCAACGAAGTCGGCGCAAATGCCGGTGCCCATGTCACGACATGAGTTTATTGATGGCTTATTAGACCTGTCCCTGTCTCAAGTCAACCATGTAAAAAACTCCTTGGGTCGATTGCTTGATCTGTGCTTTGTCTCGGATCCGACCGTAGCGTTGTTAACACGAGCACTCCCGCTCACTATACCTGAAGACTGCTATCATCCTACTTTCGAAGTGTCGATAGATATTGGACCTACTGTATCGGATCGTGCGGGTAGGCTATCTGAACGCGTCCGCTGCTTTCGTAAAGCCGAGTTTACGAAGCTCAATAACTTAATTCGAAATTTTGATTGGTCCGCTCTGTACTTGTGCAGTGACGTCATTGAAGGCACAAACATTTTTTATAATGTACTTGACACAATTTTTGACACGTGTGTCCCACTTTCATGTCCGACTAGATCTGCGAAACCTCCTTGGTTCACCAAAGAGTTATCCAGTCTAAAAAATCTAAAATCAAGGCTATTTAAAAAAGCTCAAGAAGTTGGTTCTCCCTCTTCTCTTTCTAATTACTTAATAGCTCGGTCAAACTTCACTGTTCTTAATGCTCAATGCTATAGGAACTACCTCCTTCGATGCAGGATACGTTTTTCAAAGGACCCTAAACAGTTTTACTGCTTCGTAAACAGTAAGCGTAGAACGTCGGCACATCCATCCTCGCTATCATTTTTGAATATGTCGGCAAACAATGATCAGGCAATCGCCGATCTTTTTGCAAAATTTTTTCAAACCACATATTCCCAGGAAAGCTACCCAGGTCATATGTATCCATATAGTTTACCAAGGTCGAATGGCATTTTCTGCCCTTTGTTAAATGAAGGCTCCTTACTTCATGAACTTCAATTAGTTAAGCCGGTATTCTCACCGGGCCCTGACGGAGTTCCCGGCTGTGTACTCAGGTACTGTGCCGAGTCTCTCTGCGGACCTTTGCTTAAACTATTCACTCTATCTATCCATTCTTCTAGCTTTCCCCCCATCTGGAAGGAATCCTTTATAATTCCTCTCCATAAGAAAGGTAGCAAGTCTGACGCTAAAAACTATAGAGGTATATCTAAGTTATCCGCTATTCCTAAAATGTTAGAGAAACTTTTAACTCCGCACTTGCAGCATCTCTGCAAATCACTTATATCTCCAGCTCAGCACGGATTTATACGGCGACGATCAACAACCACTAATCTTTTAGAGTTCACCTCCTTTGTAATTAAAGGCCAATTATTCCAAAGTAACTTGCAGACGGATGTTATTTACACTGACTTCAGTAAGGCATTCGATTCCGTAAACCATTCTCTTCTTGCACAAAAGCTCAACCTTCTAGGGTTTCCGCCCAATCTGTTGAGATGGATTTCTAGCTACCTGTGTTCTAGGTCTCAAAGGGTCCTTTTCAAAAACTCCGTATCTTTACCTGTTATGGTTACTTCTGGAGTACCACAGGGTAGCCATTTAGGCCCCTTACTTTTCACACTCTTTATTAATGACCTGCCTTCTGTATTAACAAATTCTCGAGTACTTATGTATGCGGATGATGTTAAACTCTGTGTCCAGTATAAGGACATTTCATTTCACTCTCGTTTGCAATCTGATCTCAATAGCTTTCAGTCATGGTGCTGTGCAAATATGTTACAACTTAATGCCTCGAAGTGCAGTGTTATGACTTTTTGTCGCTCCAGCCCCTTCCTGGCTCCTTACACCCTCTGCGGTAGTTCTCTTGAGAGAATTACATTGGTTGATGATCTAGGTGTTAAACTAGACCCAAAGTTAAAGTTTTCTGAACACATTTCTACCATGGTAAATAAAGCCATGGGTGTGGTTGAGTTTATAATGAAGTGGTCAAAGGGATTTGTGGAGCCCTATATAACGAAGACTGTCTATTTATCGCTTGTTCGTCGGATTTTAGAATACGCATCATCTGTACGGTGCCAGCATTACNCAACCACTAATCTTTTAGAGTTCACCTCCTTTGTAATTAAAGGCTTCCAAAGTAACTTGCAGACGGATGTTATTTACACTGACTTCAGTAAGGCATTCGATTCCGTAAACCATTCTCTTCTTGCACAAAAGCTCAACCTTCTAGGGTTTCCGCCCAATCTGTTGAGATGGATTTCTAGCTACCTGTGTTCTAGGTCTCAAAGGGTCCTTTTCAAAAACTCCGTATCTTTACCTGTTATGGTTACTTCTGGAGTACCACAGGGTAGCCATTTAGGCCCCTTACTTTTCACACTCTTTATTAATGACCTGCCTTCTGTATTAACAAATTCTCGAGTACTTATGTATGCGGATGATGTTAAACTCTGTGTCCAGTATAAGGACATTTCATTTCACTCTCGTTTGCAATCTGATCTCAATAGCTTTCAGTCATGGTGCTGTGCAAATATGTTACAACTTAATGCCTCGAAGTGCAATGTTATGACTTTTTGTCGCTCCAGCCCCTTCCTGGCTCCTTACACCCTCTGCGGTAGTTCTCTTGAGAGAATTACATTGGTTGATGATCTAGGTGTTAAACTAGACCCAAAGTTAAAGTTTTCTGAACACATCTCTACCATGGTAAATAAAGCCATGGGTGTGCTTGGGTTTATAAAGAGGTGGTCAAAGGAATTTGAGGACCCCTATATAACGAAGACTCTCTATATCTCGCTTGTTCGTCCGATTTTAGAATACGGCTCATGTGTATGGTGCCCTCAGTACAACATACATCAGGACCGTATTGAATCAGTACAGAAAAACTTTTTATTATTTGCCCTACGGGGCCTCAACTGGGATGCAACTGTGAGACTGCCATCCTACCGTAGTAGACTTCTCTTAATAAATCTTCCATCCTTAGTTAGTCGTAGAAAAATGCTTGGTGTAATTTTTATGCACAACTTGATCAAGGGGGATGTAGACAGCCCTGACTTGCTGAGCCGCATAAACTTTACGATTCCCATTAGACCCACTAGAAACTTTATTCCTTTGTTCCTTCCACTATGTAGATCGAATTATGCCTCACACGAACCCTTTAGGGTTTTATGCTCGGATTATAATTCCCTCTACCACATTATATCCTCAACTAACTCCCTTCCTCTTCTTAAATCTCTTATACTAGCCTACCTCTCCCGTAGTTAGTTTCATTTTAGTTTTGTCTTGTTTTTGATTTTGGTAATTTCTGCTTGCTTAGCTTAGTCTAGTTATGATTAGATCTAATTTTCCTCGAATATTAGCCTAACATCTATCTTTCCTGCATGCTCGCGACCGGTTCGGTTAATCGCGCCGCGCGTCATGCGGCAGCGCCCCTCGGTCGGATGGGCGGGAGGAGGGCTGCGTTCTGCTAGGTTCCGCGCGTAACAGGCTTTGGCTTGGTGTCGCATGGGCCACTTGATGGTGCAGTCATTGCATATCAACGTCCAGAAAATGGTAGCGAAAGGCTCGCTTGCCTGTCGTATTAGCATCTTCCCTGCTGGCTTGGCTTGTTGCGTCTTGAACTTTTGGCACACAGCAAATTTCCTTACGTAGCGAGCGACGTCTCTGAAGATTCGTTGGTTGGTTGGTCGTGGCATTCTTGCAGCACACGCTGCCGTTGTTCCTTGCCTACACACAGCTTCCATGGTATGAAATCTTCCTCCAGGGGCCGTTGTCCTACGTTCCTGTACAGTTGTCCGTTCTCCAGGGTATAATCGGGGTACTTCTCTGGTCGCTCCAGTGTCTCCTGTGTGCGTCGTCGTATCCATGCGCATGTGTTCTGTTCCTCGATGATTGTCTGTATGGCCTCGAATGGCTGTCGTGACAAGGCGTCTGCGACAACGTTCTGTCGTCCTTTTCGGTAGTGAATGTCGAACTGGAACTGTTGGAGTTCCAGGGCCCATCGTGCAATTCGTCCTGTGGGATTTTCGATCGTGTTGAGCCACTTGAGGGCCAAGTGGTCCGTCACGACGTCGAACCTGTATCCTTCCAAATAGCAACGCAGCTTCCTGACGGCCCAGACGATTGCTAAGCATTCCATCTCGGTGGCGGAGTAATTCTCCTCGGCCCTCGATAGTCTCCGGCTCACATATGCAATGACCCTCTCGCCGTCGGCACTCGGCTGGGTTAGTACTCCTCCTAGTCCGTAGTCGCTGGCGTCAGTCTGTAAAGAGAACTTACTGGTAAAATCCGGACACGCGAGAACTGGCGCCTCGGTCAGTAGTTCCTTGAGTTGTGCGAACGCTTGCTGTTGTGGTATTTCCCACGTCCATTTCTTGTCTTTCCGAAGTAGCTGTGACATCGGTTGTACAACGGCTGCAAAGTTTGGGACAAATCGCCTGTACCAGGAGGCGAGACCCAAGCATCGGCGTAGTTCTTGTACACTGGTTGGAGCTGCGAGCTTTTGGACAGCGGCGATCTTCTCGGGATCGGTGTGAATTCCTTCCTTGCTAACGACGTGCCCCAGGTACACCAACCTGCGCTGGAAGAAGAGGCACTTCTTCCGGTTAAGCCTGAGGTTCGCTTGCCGTAAGCGCCTCAACACTTCTCTGAGATTCCTGACGTGTTCCTCCAATATGGTTCCAATGATGATGATGTCATCGAGATATGCGAACGCGTGGGGTTCCATATCTGCCCCGATGACGCTGTCGAGTGCCCTCTGGAATGTTGCGGGTGCCGAGTGGAGTCCAAATGGCATAACACGCCATTGGAAAAGACCTCGGCCTGGTAATGTGAACGCGGTGCATTCACGGCTTGCCTTGGCCATGGGTATCTGCCAATACCCGCTTTTCAAGTCCAATGTGCTAATATACTTAGCGTTCCGCAATCTCTCCAAGATTGAATTTATCCTCGGCAGGGGGTATGCGTCCGGTACCGATCGTGCATTGAGTTGCCGAAAGTCCACAGACATGCGGGTTTCTCCAGTCTTCTTGCCCACCAACACAATAGGGGCACTGTGTGGGCTTTTGGACGGCTCGATGCATCCGTCCCGTAGTAACTCGTCTACTTGCGCGTGAATTATCCCTTGCATGGCTGGATTCCGTGGATTCGCTGTTTGATCGGGCGATCGTCGCGCATCAATATCACGTGCTCGGCGATGTTGGACACGCCGGTCATGCCGTCGAATTTCGCCAATTCTTCCTCCAGGAATTCCTGTACCCATGATGCTAGCGGTTCTGTTGAGCTAGGTCCTCGTTCTCACTGCTAAGGTTGCTTTTCCTTGTCGTCGATGTTGACCCGCCGGTCACCTCGCGGTTGCAGGTGCCGGGATCATCTTGCTTCCTTGTCCTCCCTAGTCGTGTGACGACCGCCTCGCGGATGCAGGCGTCGTCCTTGCTTGTCCTCGTCGTCGATGATGACCCGCCGGCCACCTCGCGGTTCCAGGTGCCGGGATCATCTTGATTCCTTGTCCTCTATGGTAGGTTGACGACCGCCTCGCGGATGCAGGCGTCGTCCTGGTTTGTCCTCGCTGGTCGGTGACACTCCGTGGTTACGTGGTTGGCTCTGCTCAAGGGCATGAGCAACCCTCCTACCTGCAACTTGGCATCTATGGCGGCAAAGAAATCCAATGCGAGTAGCACGTCGTCGAGAGCCGATGGCAGGACCAGCATCAGGAGGCTAGCCCGTGATTGTGCGAGTCGTACCTCTACTTGAATTGCCCGCGTTAGTTCCATCCTTGTCCCATTTGCCAAAGCTATTGTTGTTCGCACTGTTCGTCTGTTAGCCGGGGTCTCGATGAGTCGTGCCTTCTGCTCGCTGAGGAAACTCCGCGTGGCCCCCGTGTCCAGCGTCGCTATCATCACCTCAGCCTCGATGCTTGCCTCGGCGGCAAGCCTGCCATCTCGCGGACGTATGACACCCGCTAGTCCCAGGACTCGCTCGTTGGCCCTCTCATCTGTCCTGGGTTTGATGAGGGGCGGTGGGCGTTTCCCGTCTCCTTGGCCTGGCAGCAGTCGATGGTCCTCACTCCTCGGCGGCCACAGTTCCAGCAGAGTAGTGTCCGAGTTCCACGGCATTCCCTGGCAAAGTGTCCCAGCACTCCGCCGTTCCGGCACGCATTACGTGTGTCCACCGGTTGCTCGCTGCTGGAATTGTCTATCGTTCCTGGATCCTTTCCCTCTTTAGGCACCGCTGCTGCGTTCGAAGTCGTCCACTGTGATCCGGGTTTGTGGCTCGTTGCGCCGGTTCCCCGCTTTAACATCGCTGCTGATCCTGTCCTGGTTCTGGCTTGACGTTGATGCTCGCGTTCCCGGGTGATCTCAAAGTTGATCACCAGTTGTGTTAACTGTTTGAATGTGCGGAAGTCCATGCGTCTCACGTACAACTGGTATTCATTCTGGACGTTGATATGCAATGACTGCACCATCAAGTGGCCCATGCGACACCAAGCCAAAGCCTGTTACGCGCGGAACCTAGCAGAACGCAGCCCTCCTCCCGCCCAACCGACCGAGGGGCGCTGCCGCATGACGCGCGGCGCGATTAACCGAATCGGTCGCGAGCATGCAGGAAAGATAGATGTTAGGCTAATATTCGAGGAAAATTAGATCTAATCATAACTAGACTAAGCTAAGCAAGCAGAAATTACCAAAATCAGAGACAAGACAAAACTAAAATGAAACTAACTACGGGAGAGGTAGGCTAGTATAAGAGATTTAAGAAGAGGAAGGGAGTTAGTTGAGGATATAATGTGGTAGAGGGAATTATAATCCGAGCATAAAACCCTAAAGGGTTCGTGTGAGGCATAATTCGATCTACATAGTGGAAGGAACAAAGGAATAAAGTTTCTAGTGGGTCTAATGGGAATCGTAAAGTTTATGCGGCTCAGCAAGTCAGGGCTGTCTATATCNGTCCTTTGAAAAACGTATCCTGCATCGAAGGAGGTAGTTCCTATAGCATTGAGCATTAAGAACAGTGAAGTTTGACCGAGCTATTAAGTAATTAGAAAGAGAAGAGGGAGAACCAACTTCTTGAGCTTTTTTAAATAGTCTTGATTTTAGATTTTTTAGACTGGATAACTCTTTGGTGAACCAAGGAGGTTTCGCAGATCTAGTCGGACATGAAAGTGGGACACACGTGTCAAAAATTGTGTCAAGTACATTATAAAAAATGTTTGTGCCTTCAATGACGTCACTGCACAAGTACAGAGCGGACCAATCAAAATTTCGAATTAAGTTATTGAGCTTCGTAAACTCGGCTTTACGAAAGCAGTGGACGCGTTCAGATAGCCTACCCGCACGATCCGATACAGTAGGTCCAATATCTATCGACACTTCGAAAGTAGGATGATAGCAGTCTTCAGGTATAGTGAGCGGGAGTGCTCGTGTTAACAACGCTACGGTCGGATCCGAGACAAAGCACAGATCAAGCAATCGACCCAAGGAGTTTTTTACATGGTTGACTTGAGACAGGGACAGGTCTAATAAGCCATCAATAAACTCATGTCGTGACATGGGCACAAGGTTGTTTGACTCGTTAACCGAAGACCAGACAGTACCTGGCAGGTTGAAATCCCCAAGAACTATTAAATGGTCTTTATCTGATAGCGAGGAAGAAACAGTTTTTAAGGCAGACAAATGCTGCTCGTATATTAGTACATCCGAAGACGGTGGAATATACGAGCAAGTGACATAAATAGACTGGCCGGGAAGAATCAGTCTAACACAGAGGAATTCCAGGTCTTGTGAGACCTGGACTATGAAAAGTTCCGACGTAAAGTTAGAGTTTACTGCAATCAGAACCCCTCCTCCACGTCGAGACGAACGATCATTCCTATAAATTGTGTACCGATCTGCCAAAACTTCGGAACTAAGAATGTCCGGCTTTAACCAGGTTTCGGTAAAAACAATAACATGGGATGAAAATGTGAAACTATCCATAAAAAGAGTGCTCAGCTTACTACGTAAGCCGCGAGCATTTTGATAGGCTACAAAGAGGGATGTTAGTTTTTTGACTGCAAGGAATTGCAGTGGGAAGAGGGGAATGGAGCAGAGGAGGAAGGACCACTGGCCTCACTACTAGGAAGAGTTATGGGGGGCCTATTTTTCTTCTTAGCCTTAAACTCTTTCACAACCAGGTGCTCTGGCCAAAATTTGGAAGAGCAAATGGTCCCGAAATGAGTTGGAGACACGCTAATCTTGAAAGAGGATATCTCCCTGGCATATGAGAAATTAAACTTCTCCACCTTTAAGCCAACGGCTTTTATTTTGCTTTGTATAAAAGCAGTTACATCATTAGATGTGAGGTCAGGGGCAAGCCGAGAGACAAAAACTTGCCGCTTTGGTGGGACTCCCACCAGAGGTTTTGGCACCACAGATCTGGTACCTGTGACGGCAATATCCGGTGGTCCGGGACGTTTATTAACTGGTGGGATCGAAATAGATGGGATGGGCTTTGGAACGGACTCGACAGACACGGACGCTACAGTACTAACTGGCTGCATGTTCTCCGAGATGATCGATTCGGAAGCCGAAACTTGATCACCAGCAGTTGTCGTTGCCCTTGGAGTAGCGAACGAAATTAGCTGCTGCACTATCGGAGTGGACGGAGACAGTTGATCAGCAGCGAGCGGTCGAGGGACAGGCACTTGCAGATCACGAGGAGTGACTTTTTTGCGCCTAGGAGACTCATTCAGCACTTTAAAACTGCTGAATTGAGATTCCATGGCTAGAAGCCGATCGTACTGCTTTTTAAAGCCCACGGTCAGCTCCTTAAAGCCCTTTCGCGTCTGCCTCATAAACGTGACCATGTCATTCTCGATAGACCGACATGCCTCGCAACTGTAATGCAGACCATTACGCTTCGAAATTGCGTCACCCACGAGGCCTGAGAACCCAATACATTTTGCGTGCACTACGTTATCGCAGAGCCAGCAAGGGATGATCGGCTGGTCGTGGGTGATCTGCTTTTTGCAAGCCTTAGCGGAGCACACAACCAAGTATTCCATTATTTTATTATTTATTTTNATGAAAATGTGAAACTATCCATAAAAAGAGTGCTCAGCTTACTACGTAAGCCGCGAGCATTTTGATAGGCTACAAAGAGGGATGTTAGTTTTTTGACTGCAAGGAATTGCAGTGGGAAGAGGGGAATGGAGCAGAGGAGGAAGGACCACTGGCCTCACTACTAGGAAGAGTTATGGGGGGCCTATTTTTCTTCTTAGCCTTAAACTCTTTCACAACCAGGTGCTCTGGCCAAAATTTGGAAGAGCAAATGGTCCCGAAATGAGTTGGAGACACGCTAATCTTGAAAGAGGATATCTCCCTGGCATATGAGAAATTAAACTTCTCCACCTTTAAGCCAACGGCTTTTATTTTGCTTTGTATAAAAGCAGTTACATCATTAGATGTGAGGTCAGGGGCAAGCCGAGAGACAAAAACTTGCCGCTTTGGTGGGACTCCCACCAGAGGTTTTGGCACCACAGATCTGGTACCTGTGACGGCAATATCCGGTGGTCCGGGACGTTTATTAACTGGTGGGATCGAAATAGATGGGATGGGCTTTGGAACGGACTCGACAGACACGGACGCTACAGTACTAACTGGCTGCATGTTCTCCGAGATGATCGATTCGGAAGCCGAAACTTGATCACCAGCAGTTGTCGTTGCCCTTGGAGTAGCGAACGAAATTAGCTGCTGCACTATCGGAGTGGACGGAGACAGTTGATCAGCAGCGAGCGGTCGAGGGACAGGCACTTGCAGATCACGAGGAGTGACTTTTTTGCGCCTAGGAGACTCATTCAGCACTTTAAAACTGCTGAATTGAGATTCCATGGCTAGAAGCCGATCGTACTGCTTTTTAAAGCCCACGGTCAGCTCCTTAAAGCCCTTTCGCGTCTGCCTCATAAACGTGACCATGTCATTCTCGATAGACCGACATGCCTCGCAACTGTAATGCAGACCATTACGCTTCGAAATTGCGTCACCCACGAGGCCTGAGAACCCAATACATTTTGCGTGCACTACGTTATCGCAGAGCCAGCAAGGGATGATCGGCTGGTCGTGGGTGATCTGCTTTTTGCAAGCCTTAGCGGAGCACACAACCAAGTATTCCATTATTTTATTATTTATTTTGAATATATAAATAAATAAAATAAATAAAATAAATAAAAATTATTTTCACAAAACAAATAGCAATGGGACCAGTGTGCCGACCAATTGCTTAAAGAAAAGTTTAAAGCGGGATCGAAAACAGATGAGCGCAGAGA